ACATCATCCAAATGGGCAGATCATAGATGTCTCCGAACGGAAAGGCAGAATTCCCTCCTCCCCCCACCTAAGTGAGACCTGGAAGCATTAGCACTCTCTGCCAGGTCTCCCCCTTGCTGCGCCTCGCAAAGCAACAAAACACAGAATAGTGGCAAGGATTGCCTTGTCAAGACAAGAACAATGTAAGGAAGAAGAGCAAGAAAAAGATCTAAGGAAAAATCAGTGTTAGAAAATTGTGGTAAGAGGATTATAGAGGGTATGATAGGTTTATGGACTCAGCAATAGAAAAGGAAAAGCAAGATGCTTGAATATATGGGGCAAGGGAAAATAGAGGCTGGTGGAAAGTATAAGGGGCAGAGACACACAGGATGTTGTATATAGACATGTGGGGTTATTGGGAAGAGGCACAAAACGGGTTAAAAATTGTGCCAGGGAAGGGAGAGAAATGTGAGAAAGACACTGGTGGTTGTTTGGGAAGGATACCTGTGATGTGTAAAAGTTGTGAGGGTCACAGAAGGGTGACAAGGAGAGATGGTGTGACTGACAAAAGATGAGATAAAGTGGAGAAAAACAGGTGAGCAGAGGATAAGATAAGATAAAATATAAAAACAAACCAAAAAAAACAAAATACAAAACATTGCACCATAACAATAAACCTCTTGTACACACACACACACACACACACACACACACACACACACACACACACACACTTTGAACAGGTTTTAATTACACTCCTTGTACACACACACACACACACACACACACAGATTGCAACTACACCCCTCATTCACACACACACACACACTGACACAGATTTCTAATTCAATCATCATTTACACATGCTTACAGTCTACACTCATACACCCATGCTTCACACTCACATTTGCACTCCTCACAATGCACTTCTAGAGTCATATAATGCTCAAATGTACTCCTGTGTTCACAAACAGGTGGTTCATACAGCTCTATCCCTGAATTTATACACAGACTCCACTCTGATGCACTTTGGCATACATATATCATACACCTCCATGTATTCACACACATAGGCACTCAACAAAAAATACACCCCAGCATTCACAGATACTCAACATAAAAAGAACCTTATATTCACGTCTTCATTCCATGCAGATACACCTCTGATTTCGCACACATCTGTTATACTCATTCGTAGAACACTGTATTAACACTCTTAAACTACATGAAAATAACTCTACAACAACACATATTGTACTTTAAGATTGATGCGCATCAACATTACACACACCTATATCCCTACTTGAACACATAGTATGGTAATATTAAGGCACATACAAATACAGCAGTTTTTTTGCATCGAATTTGGGGACACTTTGGTGCTCAATTACGACATCATAGTCTAGGACTTTGGAAAAGGGCCGGGGAAGAGCCTTGCTTTTAGTTTGTGGACCTTACTATGCTGCTCATTTGGTGGTAGTTTGACTTATCCTGTGTTCCTGTAGTTCTGACATTGACCAGGCATGTTCTTGACAATCTCTGATTGCTAACTGCCCTGACCTTGCCTTGTTGGATGACCTGCTGTCCTGAATCCTTACTTTTGTTTATTTACTGATTTGTCGTTAGTTTAGAACTTGTTGGTGATTTCTTTCTTGTTAAGCCTCTATAATGTCTAGTAATACATCGTTCTAACCCTTGTCTATATCTGCAGTTATGGATGGATCCTACACTTACCTGCACCTAACTTCTTTTGTTCTGACAATTCACTCTCAAAGTAAACATTGCTTAAATCTTTAATGTTTTTGAACCAATGTGCTTGGTTATTGAAATCTCCCCTAAAATTTGATTTCTTCCTTGTATACAGCACTGTGTTCTATCAACAACCCTGATAAACCATCAAGTCCCATTGTGAATTGGGAAAGGGATATAGGTGAATCAGTTGAAGGCAGTGATTTAGAGGGGATCTGGCTGCCTCCAAAAAGTATATACTTGGCAGGATTGCAATCCCAATATTGTAAAATGCTTTTCTGTTCATACAATACTCATTCAGAACTGTAACGAATGGAAATTTTCCCACTCCGTTAGTGTTGTTAATTCTGGGTCCAAGACTACTTTTTACCACATGTATTTGCAATTCCCAGGGTAACCACTTAATGGACTAATATTAAAGAACTTGTTGGTCAATTTCTCTGTAAAGCTGAGCCCCTGGACTCTTCTCCTCTACTATCCACTTTATAATATAACTAGAGCGGAAAATAAACTTTTGTGCAGAATTTCCTTACGGTAAGAACGATAAAGATGTGAAATGCTCTGCCTGAAGAGGTGGTTTTTATCAGAGTCTGTACAGATCTTTTTTTTTTATTCTTAATTTTGTGTCATGTTGCACACGGTGCCAGATTAAGAGCCTAGTGGGTTTGGTGCTGACAATTATGAGGGGCCTAAGTACAGAATATTATCGACAGAAAACACTAAAACACTCATACCTCTCAGGCATTAAGTATCTGGTGGAGATGTTGCCGGAGGGAAACACATAGGATGCAGCTGTAAGAAAACTCAGATTCTCTTAAAATATGCTAATCTCTCTCTAATACATGCTTTCACCTTTCAAGTAAATTCATAATCCCTAACAGCAGTGTCCAGTGAAGCAGGAAGTCAATGGGCGGTGTAAAAGGGTGGGCCACTGACGCGAATCATGTAACCAAAGGGGACGAACATGTCCAAAAAGGAGGCGTGTCTGCCCCCAAAATTGGAAGGCTAGCCTGGCATGAATGCATGTCAGGCTGCCTGCCAATCATGCATGCTGGCCAACAGCACCGTGAGTTTGGCATAAATGCGTTGAATGTTGCACTCGCTCCATGCTTTCTAAGGACTGTCCCCTAGCACTCACATGTCCACTTGTCTCCTTACCTTCTTACTATCAGGTAGAAGCTCCTGGCATACGGTCTGAGACAGAGAAAAGGTGGATGTAGTGAGTGTAGAAGAAAGGGAATATGCCACAGAGTTAGAGAGACCAAAGTCAGCATTACCTTAACTAATTTCATTTCAGCTAGTCCACACAGGTTTTGTTTTCATATATTCCTGATAAGTTTCCATACTTAAGCAAGAGTATGTGAAGAGTAGTTACGGTTGCCACCTTACTTTGAAAAAAATACAGGCCTTGCTAATTTGCCTAACTAATCACATGATGTAAATCACAAGGAGTGACATAAGAGAAAATGCTGTAAAATCACCACAAAAATACTTAGTTTAATTCTGCTGTATAGATGGATAGCTCCCAGTGTCAACCTGTCGCCCAGTGTCCCCTAGTGTCTGTGTACCCAGTGTCCCCATGTCACTTGGGGACACTGGGAGACACACGGGGACACTGGGAAACATGGGCACACAGACACTTTGGACACTAGGAACACTGGGAGACGTGGGGGCACTTAGACACTTGGGGACATTGTGTCCCAAAGTGTCTGTGTCACCATGTGTGTCTGTGTCCCCAAGTGTCTCAGCATCCCCAGAGGCCTCCATGTGTCCCCATGTCTCAGGGCCCCCTAGTGTCTCTGTCTCCCTGCAGCCTTTACTCCATCCTTCACTTCCCTGAGCTGTAGACTGTCTCTGCAGGCTGGGAGCTGCTGTGCAGTTGCTCCCCCATGGATCAGTGATATATGCTGTAACTTCCATCAGCCCCTATGTTAATCTGACCCTGGTTGTACATGAATCTGGTGAAATGAAGTGTACAGAAATCAACAATCAAGCATAGGAACAATGGCTCCGCAAACAGGGTATGTCATGTTAGAAAAGACAGTATGCAGCATGAACATTTTTTTTTTTTTAAACCCTGTAATTTAGTCAATCTAAGAATGTGTCCCGTGTGACTTCAGTGACTTAAAGGGTGAGGGCTGTCGAGCGTCACTGTGCAATAACTTTTAACCCACTGAGGGATGCACCCCCAACTAATGTAACTGCTTGGTTCCTCAGACCGAGTTGATCAGGGATAAGTACTCCTTTTCCATAGGGGTAGTAGATGTACCGCATAGCAGGCCCCACGTGTAGCAGCTATGTTGGGTAGCTGGTGAGGGTAATTGCGCGAGATGTTGCTATTTTACCAAAGGAGTAATGTGTGTGTAACAGAAACTAAAATGTAAAAGTAGTACTAAACAAAATGTGAGGTGTCTCTTATTAGAATGGAGAATAATGGTAGGTATTGGTGGAAAGACAGTCCCTTAGGAGGGACAGGCGGGGTTTCACCCTCTGGATAAGTCCCTCATGTTGGTGCGGCAGTCCATTGCACCTGTTGTGATTGTCGGGGGTAAACTCCAGTGTGTTGGCTGGATTCAGCTGTGACATGCTCATTCCTTGTTGGGTCGGTGTCTTCAAGAGCCCCACGGTGGTTAGCAGGGCTTGTAGCTTTTGGGAGCTGTGCACTCTGTGGGCAGTCCCTCTGTGAGAAAAGAGGAGCGCTCGTGGGGTTTCCCATCTGTAAGGTATTTCATTATTTTGCAGGTGTTGCAAGAAGGGTTGCATTCCCTTTCTCCAAGTAAGGGTATTCCTTGTAAGGTCTAGGAAGATAGACAGCGTAGAGCCTTTGAAGAGTAACAGGGTCTTCCCCCTGAGTGCCACGAGGAGCGATGCCTTTTCTTGGAGTGACTGGAAGCGCAAGATGAGATCTGTAGTTGCTGAAACCCTTGCCAGCTTCGGCAGTCTAAACATTCCATCGATTCGTATGGCTTTTGCCTGTTTAGGTGGTAACCGTTCGGCAAGGAGGTGTCTGATAAAGTGTGGCGCCTCTGTTGTCCCCACTGAGTCGAGTATGCCTCTTCCATGGCATGAATTCTACCCACGGTAGTGGTTTGTTGGTGCTGTAGATCAGCTAATTGTTGCTCTACAACTGTCAGCCGTGAGTCTTGAGTGCTGGAGGTGGCCCTTAGGGGAGACTAAGTCACAAAGTGACTAAAGCACGCAAGCTTGCTGCCTAGGTGTTCTCTTTGACTCCATCTCCTTCACACCTCATGTTCAGTCTATCACCAAATCCTGCCGCTTCCATCTCAAATACATTGCATGCATACTTAACGCCAGATGCGACTATGGTGCTAGTTGATTCCAGTGTCCTTTCTCGCTTCTCAGTGGTCTTCCATGCACCCAACTATGTCGTTACAGTTCATAATGAATGCTGCGGCGAGGCTCATCTACCTGTTTGCCCGCACCTCCCATGCCTCACCCTTCTGCCAGTCCCTACATTGACTTCCTGTAAGATACAGGGCTCAATTTAACATTCTGGTTCTTGCTTTCAAATCTCTACATAATGCTGCTCCCACCTATCTATCCTCCCTAATACACAAGTATGTCTCGTCTAGGCCCTTACGCTCTGCTGAAGACTTAAGTCTATCTTCTCTCCGTACTCCCACTTCTGATGCTCGCCTTCAAGACTTCTCGAGGGCTGCACCGTTCTTGTGGAACTCACTTCCCTCCTCCGTTAGATGCTCACCCAGTCTCCACTCCTTCAAAAAAATCATTAAAAGCCCACTTCATGAAAGCATATCAATTAAACTGTTTCCTGATTTCTCTCTTGCAATTGTCATTAGTCTAATAATATCCTTACCTTTTGTGTCACTTTTCCCCACTCCCTCTAGCATTTAAGATCACTGAGCAGGACCCTCAACCCCTCTTTCCTGTGTGTCCAACCTGTCTGGTTACTACATGTTTGTTCGTCCACCCACTGTAAAGCACTGCGGAATTTGTTGGCGCTATATAAATAATAACATAGTAATAATAGTAATAATAATGTTAGAAAGCAATGGGTAGGAACTGTATTTCCTGATATGCAATCCTTTCCTCTGTGATTTTGTAAATGCTTTTAATCGTGTCAGGAATAAAGTTCTAAGACAGTGAGCACTATGGATCTATTATCTTTCTTCTAGATGTAAATCAGAGGTGGCAAAAAAGGTAGATCTCCAGATCCAAAAAACAACAATCAGAACAAGGCTTGGAACGCAACACAACGAACAGCTGTATGGAATACGAATTTTGAGAAGGCATATAAATATGGGAGCAGGGACCAGGAAATCTATTATACCAGACTGAGGAAGGCAAATAATGGCGAAATTACACAAGGACTGGATTACACAAGGACTTTACTAAAGTATTGGTATTTCTATATTGCATTACTTTTGTTGTTTTTAATACTACAATAAAGTTAATATATTTTAAATACCACTATCTGAGTTCCTGCACTTATATAAAAAAAAAGGTGTGGTGGTCCTTAACCACAGAAAGCTTAAACATGGAGCCAGGAGCCAGGCTCCACTTTTGTGAGTATAACTGTCACTGTATATAAGCTTTTTTCGTAAAGCAATATCACACTATTCCTACATATTCTCTTTACCCCGAGATTTATAATGAGGCAAAGGGATCCATCAAAAGACTCCATATGGGAGAGGGGAAAGGTCGCCCCAACAACGGACCTAAAGGCTCTACACACTAGAGCTAGGTTCATTAGCTCTGGACCATGTGAGTGTTCCATATAGGATTTTTTGTTCTAATATATGTATTAAGGTTTTACACTATTGACTACCATTTCTTTTTTTAAAGGTACATTTACCAGTCTATCACAGATTGCAATGTAAAACAGCTAAGTATTTAAATAGACTTATTGCACTAAGCACATATTTGCACAGTTGCTGCACCTTAAAGGTATATGGCGCTGCACTGTTTTTATTGAGCAATATTCTAGGTTGTTTCTTCCTAACAACAAATAATAAATATTGAAATGACATGAAAGCTTTTCTGTTTTTACAAAAACCATGAAAGGTTAGATTGTAAATAACTATTTTTTATAGCACTTTATAAACGATGAAACTTTAAATCCTTTTCATCAATCCCTGGAATTTGGGCAAAAGTAAAATACCTCGGACGTATTTGAAAACCAGAGTAATCTGAATGTACCGTTCCTGGTTTAATTCTTTATTATTATTTTATATTGCAGAAATTTAACTCGTGCTGCCACCCAGTGGCAAAATAGCAGAAAGACGTTTCAAAATAACCTATTTTTTGCAACTAAGAGGGGACATTTAATATAATGGAAAGAAAATGAGCAACAGGGAAGGATGTTAATGACTTCTAAGTTAAGGAGGAAAAAAGACTATCACACACTGTAATAAACTGCAGGGGAAAATAAGTGTATTTATAACAAGCTCATGAGAAATATTTATAGACAGTTTTTTTCTTATGGGACCTTGCTGTGAAATCTCATAATTTTCAAATATATCATCATAGCAAATACATCTATCTCTATGATAATAAATTAGCATAACACATCAACACAGACAGTGCATTCAATGCCAGCAGGAATACATCCCTTACACCCTTCATCCATCAAGGCTATTGCATATTAGTACTATTTTTATTTCAATATTTTCATTTCCTTTTCACCTTTAAAGTAAAATAATACCCCAAAACCAAATGAAGCTAAATTGCTTTCAAATAGCATAATCACTCCAATGAATATTTTTTCAGATGTGCACAGCTGAATATATCTTCAGTGTATAAGTTATTTAATAAAAAATAAAAAATAAAAAAAGTTTTTGTCCTGTATACCACAGCTCAGGAAGCACACAGGCATCTCAAATGGCACATATCTAAGACTATTTTATATCACGACCTGCAATGTGCTGTAAAAATACAATGTTAACACTTTGATCACAGATTTGTAAAAAATAAAGTTTCCTCTTTTTGTATGGAAAGAGCACTCATGTGCTCTGTTTACTGTGATTTACTTTAGTATCCTATTGCCCTTATACATCAGAGATGGCGATCCAAAGGCAGAGTAACAGACAGAGGAGGCACCTGTGGCAGTCCTGATAGGCACCTACTTATTGGCGCATGCCTATCTCCCCATCACCCTAAGACTGCTGTCTCAAAGTTACACTTGAGTCCAATCTGTTCTTCACCCCTCACATTTAATTGCTTTCTTCAGCTTCAATTACCTACGCTATATTTCCAAAATATGTATTTTTCTGAGTACTGACACCACTAAGCCCCCCTCTTATTAATCCTCGTCTTGACTACTACATTAACCTACTAACTGGCCTTCCTCTCTTCGGCCTCTCTCCAACTTCAGTCCATCCTAAATCCTTTTTAATTCTAATCCACCTTACCCATTGCTCTTTATCTGCTGCAGCACCCTGTGAGCAGGGATGTGTCTACCACGAGGTAAACAAGGCATTTGCCTTGGGCGGTAATTTCATGGGGGCGTCAAGCACTTTCCCCTGACCTCTCTCTGCTCAGCTCCCTCGCGCGACACGCAGCAATGCCGGGAGCCGGAATATGACGTCATAATCAGGCTCCCGGAATCACTCTGCGTCGTGCAAGGGAGCTGAGCAGAGAGCTCAGGGGAAAGTGTTCCCTCACCACCTGCCTGCCTGCATGCACGTCCGGCTGCCTCCCTTCTCAGCAGCCCCACTGGACCCCAGGTGAAAAATCCAAAAGTATGGAGGCTGGGTGGATTTCAATTTTTAAAAATAATAACAAAATTAATCATTGTTAGTGGGGAAAGTGTGTCAGTGAATGTGTGTGAATTTAAATTACAGGGGGGAGCCCGAGCACCGTCCTGCCTAGGGCAGCACAAATCCTGAATACACCACTGCCTGTGAGTGTCTTCACTGGCCTTCATTCACAGCAGAATCAAATTCAAAACTCTCACCCCGACCTAAAAAGCTTTTACTAAATTCCTCCCTCTCTCTCCCTGTCCTCACTGATCAACTATATACTCTAGAAAGCCTCCCTAAGATATAACAGTGACTTACTACTTGCATCTTCTGTTATCACCTCTTCCCCATACTGCTAATTTCTGTCATGCAGCACCAACCGTCTGGAACACACCGCACAACACTGTCATACCTTCCCCTATTCTCCATTCCTTTAAACGTTCCAGAAAGACATTATTGTTCAGGGAAGCTTACTACTCAACTCTGTAACAAATGCATTCCAATTACCCAATAAATGCCATCATCTCAGTCTATTAACTTCATTCTCGTCCTGTTTATTACTCCTTCAATAAATGTCCTCATTTCACCTCCTATTTCCAACCCTTCTATTTATTTTTTGTTTATTTATTACTGTCATTTATAAAGTGCCAACATATTCCGCAGTTATGTAAATTAGGGGAAAACGTGCAATATACACTGACAAATACAAAAGGTAGAGAGGGTCCTGCCCTTAAGTTGAAATCTAGCCATTGAAGCTCTTTTATACAAAGTGCTTAGTTAGATAGCCCATATGCTTACAATCTAAATGATATAATGGGGATTTAAGACCAGAAGTAGCAACTGGAATTTGTAAGTGATGGCCAAAGGAAGTTAATGGAGAGTTGCAACAACTGGTAAAATGTAAAGGGAATGAGGAGGTAATTGAGTATGATCTCAAACAGCTGGAGGAGCATGCTATAAATTTAGTAGGAACCTGGCTGGGCGGGAAGTGATTTGGAGAATTTCAGTATTGCTTGGTCCTGGGTGGATGAAGTGAGGCCTAAGGAACAGGGATGGAGATGAAACAGTTACATGAAGGTATTTACGGCTAGGAGAGCATAGGATGGAGAGAGGGGTGGATAGAGCAAAAATTTTTGTATACTATTGAAATGTTTACCAAACCAAATGCCACCCAAAATATTAATAACTTTGTACATAAAATATTGGTGGAATACATTCAATGACAATATTAAAAAAAACTGCATGCACAGAAAATTACAGTGACAAACTACGGGTATAAATGGTAACAATGCTATAGTAACAAATAATAATATGGTAACAATGCAAGAATCTCTGTAGAATATACGTTCCTACAGGAAGAGGGCCCTCAACTTCTCCTATATTTGTTTGAAAAACTTTGTATTGTCTCTTATATGCATCATACCTTTGTCATTTTATTTGTACCAATTGTACCCATAGACTGCAGTGCGGAATGTTACATAGTTACATAGCTGAAAAGAGACTTGCGTCCATCAAGTTCAGCCTTCCTCACATTTGTTTTTTGCTGTTGATCCAAAAGAAGGCAAAAAAAAAAAAAAAAACAGTATGAAGCACTAAATATAAAAAACAAATTGAAACCAATATGGCTTAGAAGAGAAGTAAAACAAGAGATTTCTTATTTTTAATCTCTTGTTTTACTTCTCTTCTAAGCCATATTGGTTTCAATTTGTTTTTTATATTTATTACTGTGACGAAGTGCCCTTCGCCACTTAGTCCTGGAGAGGCCTGCTTGCTATTTGGGCCTATGGACTTGTATTGGACTGTGTATGGCCCTTTAAGCACATTTTTGGGGAATGGTGAAAATCGGAACAATACCCTTTTTAAGACGATGTCCCCAGAGTCCCCAGACTATGAAAATCACTTGTGCATGGCTGTTTCCCACTTGGTTCAGTAAATGGGGCTTACTGAACCAAGTGCTGTACAGGCGTACCACTCAGATGTGGAAATGTGGAGGCAATTTACCTCCCAGGCTGGGAGGTTGCTGTAGGTAAATTGCCGACCGCAAGTCATGCGGTGTGTGCAGTCAAATCTATGGAACTGATTTCGGCTACCCAATTGCACGAACACCACTGACCCTTACCTTCTCCTCCACTCAGTTTTCAGTCGCAGTGTCTAAGTCCCGTTCAGCAATTCGAACGCACATTCGTTGGGACTTAGTCATTTTTCAGTGTAAAATAGACCAACCGCACAGCCCAAATCTATGGACTGTTTTGGGCATGAAAATGTGCTTGCAGTCGGTCACAAAGGACTTCCAGCTAACTTTTTAACCCCTGGAAGGAATTGCCTGAATTTTGGATATGTGTATGTTTTTTGAAGTATGCTGATTAATAATATGTAGATTGAATGTATAGTTTTAAAGTTACAGTAAATGTGTAAAAAATATTTTTTTTCCTGCCTGTGATAATTACATTAACCCATTGTGTACAGTAATTATAGCACAGGCAGAGGGGAGGATTTTGTGGGAATGAATGGGAGTGTTTTACTTTATTGGAGTGTTTTATTGGTTGTTCTACAAAACCCTGTGGGTGGTACTATGTATGGAAAACCTGCATAAAAGAAAACCCTT